GGAGTGTGGACAGGGAGGTAGTTACATGTGCATATCTTGGGAGTGTGGACAGGGTGGTAGTTACATGTGTATCTCTATGGAGTGTAGAGAGGAAGGTAGTTACATCTGTATCTCTTTGGAGTGTGGACAGGGAGGTAGTTACATGTGTATCTCTATGGAGTGTATACAGGGAGCTAGTTACATGGGTATCTCTATGGATTGTAGACAGGGAGCTAGTTACATGGGTATGTCTTGGGGGATGTGGACAGGGAGCTAGTTACATGGGTATCTCTATGGAGTGTAGACAGGGAGCTAGTTACATGGGTATGTCTTGGGGGTTGTGGACAGGGAGGTAGTTACATGGGTATCTCTTGGGGGTTGTGGACAGGGAGGTAGTTACATGGGTATCTCTATGGAGTGTAGACAGGGAGGTAGTTACATGGGTATCTCTATGGAGTGTGGACAGGGTGGTAGTTACATGTGTATCTCTATGGAGTGTGGACAGGGAGGTAGTTACATGTGTATCTCTATGGAGTGTGGACAGGGAGGTAGTTACAGGTGTATCTCTATAGAGTGTGGACAGGGAGGTAGTTACATGTGTATCTCTATGGAGTGTGGACAGGGAGGTAGTTACAGGTGTATCTCTATAGAGTGTGGACAGGGAGGTAGTTACATGTGTATCTCCAGGGAGTGTGGACAGGGAGGTAGTTACATGTGCATATCTTGGGAGTGTGGACAGGGTGGTAGTTACATGTGTATCTCTATGGAGTGTAGAGAGGAAGGTAGTTACATCTGTATCTCTTTGGAGTGTGGACAGGGAGGTAGTTACATGTGTATCTCTATGGAGTGTATACAGGGAGCTAGTTACATGGGTATCTCTATGGATTGTAGACAGGGAGGTAGTTACATGGGTATGTCTTGGGGGATGTGGACAGGGAGCTAGTTACATGGGTATCTCTATGGAGTGTAGACAGGGAGCTAGTTACATGGGTATGTCTTGGGGGTTGTGGACAGGGAGGTAGTTACATGGGTATCTCTTGGGGGTTGTGGACAGGGAGGTAGTTACATGGGTATCTCTATGGAGTGTAGACAGGGAGGTAGTTACATGGGTATCTCTATGGAGTGTGGACAGGGTGGTAGTTACATGTGTATCTCTATGGAGTGTGGACAGGGAGGTAGTTACATGTGTATCTCTATGGAGTGTGGACAGGGAGGTAGTTACAGGTGTATCTCTATAGAGTGTGGACAGGGAGGTAGTTACATGTGTATCTCTAGGGAGTGTGGACATGATGATAGTTACATGTGTATCTCTAGGGAGTGTGGACATGAAGATGGTTACATGTGTATCTCTAGGGAGTGTGGACAGGGTGGTAGTTACATGTGTATCTCTAGGGAGTGTGGACAGGGTGGTAGTTACATGTGTATCTCTAGGGAGTGTGGACATGATGATAGTTACATGTGTATCTCTAGGGAGTGTGGACAGGGAGGTAGTTACATGTGTATCTCTAGGGAGTGTGGACATGATGATAGTTACATGTGTATCTCTAGGGAGTGTGGACATGAAGATAGTTACATGTGTATCTCTAGGGAGTGTGGACAGGGAGGTAGTTACATGTGTATCTCTATGGAGTGTGGACAGGGAGGTAGTTACATGTGTATCTCTATGGAGTGTGGACAGGGAGGTAGTTACATGTGCATATCTTGGGGGATGTGGACAGGGTGGTAGTTACATGTGTATCTCCAGGGAGTGTGGACAGGGAGGTAGTTACATGTGCATATCTTGGGAGTGTGGACAGGGTGGTAGTTACATGTGTATCTCTAGGGAGTGTAGACAGGAAGGTAGTTACATCTGTATCTCTTTGGAGTGTGGACAGGGAGGTAGTTACATGTGTATCTCTAGGGGATGTGGACAGGGAGGTAGTTACATGTGTATCTATGGGGTGTAGACAGGGAGGTAGTTACATGTGTAGCTCTGTGGAGTGTGGACAGGGAGGTAGTTACAAGTGTATCTCTAGGGGATGTGGACAGGGAGGTAGTTACATGTGCATCTCTTGGGAGTGTGGACAGGGTGGTAGCTACGTGTGTATCTCTAGGGAGTGTGGACCAGGAGGTAGTTACATGTGTATCTCTAGGGAGTGTGGACCAGGAGGTAGTTACATGTATCTCTATTGGGTTAGGACAGGGAGGTAGTTACATGTGTATCTCTATGGAGAGTAGACAGGGAGGTTGTTACATGGGTATCTCTATGGATTGTAGACAGGGAGGTAGTTACATGGGTATCTCTTTGGGGATGTGGACAGGGAGGTAGTTACATGGGTATCTCTATGGATTGTAGACAGGGAGGTAGTTACATGGGTATCTCTTTGGGGATGTGGACAGGGAGGTAGTTACATGGGTATCTCTATGGAGTGTATACAGGGAGGTAGTTACAAGGGTATCTCTTGGGGGACATGTGTTTTCCATATCTTGTCCTTGCGTCACGTTATATTCACTAAGGTGTACTTTTATTTCTGTCAACATACGAAAGTTGTCCCCCAACACCAGAGACCGGTGATTCTGGGATCGACTCGTCGTGATTATGTTTCTAGGTTTGACAGCACCATACCCGTGCTCGTTGGTTTCACCAAAAGTGGTAAACGTCTGTGACCTGCATTACTTCCGGCGTTCCTCTGACATTAACTGACACGTTGTGATATAACCGGAATATCGTTCAAAGCGGCGTTAAACCCAACTCCCCCGCCGTGATATTGCTGGAATATTGCTAAAAGCGGCGTAAAACCATACTCACTCACTCACTAAACCCAACTCACTCTTCAAATGCTAAGTTTGCTTCTTTACTGTTTCCAGGTTGGTATTTCTGTTTACAATATATCAATCTATGTACAGATTTAGACGAATTTCTGTTCTGTTGGTCGTGTCAGTAGAATGATGGCATTGTTCGTAGACGGCATGTGTGACAGACAGCCTTGATAGACATAGCAGGGTTGTGCACTCACCTGTCACAGGGAATACACCCGGCTATCACATGTTGAGAGGGGTGTCTTATTCATTACCTTCATTTTTTATGTTAAATGGTATTTCTACCAGACAATGCACTGAGCAGATCAGGGCCGAGAAACACCCTTTTCTGTTTATAACGAGCATTAGGGCAAAATAAATTAATTCTACTATCTGTAATATTATGTTGCAAAGATTTCAAATTGCCTGTACAGTTGAGACGTCCCTATTGGACGTGTTGAGTGTAAGATGGCTTTCTACAAGGTTGCCAGACACTTGAACCCAGGTGTAGGTATATCATAATTCCTATAGATCACCGAGGGGCACATATTCAAGGCTGATTCCAGTTGTAAATCACTGACAATGCCGGTGCTGTATATGTTCTGACACGTTTATTCCACGCGTATCGCGGGAACAAGTACCGGTACCCCATTTAGACCAGTGATATCTGCTCATTTGTCTATTTTGATGTTTGTTTTTATATCCCCAGCTCTCAACTCGTGGCAACACTACCCACGCGGTCCTGATCTGTATGCATAATACAGTTAAAGGGACAAATGACAAAAACATTTACCTCTATGCTGAACAGGCACTGCTTCTGCACACACGGGGACGGGTAGTCATCCATGGCCAGACGGGGTAGACCTAATCTGACAATAATATGCTATTTAGTCCTTTATAATAACTTTCTACATACAGCTTGCAAAACACAATCATCTAAAGGTTATAATATAAAGTGTTTACCACACTGGAAGATTCCGACCCGGTCACACGGACGCGACTCAAGTACGCCAATATATGACGGTCTATAGATGAACCTTGCCTCAATCGCTGATTGCCCATAAACACACCTGGGCAGACCGCATTGTGTTCCCGATGCGTGGGGTGAATGCACGTGGTTTCTGTTAAGGAGGTCATTGTAACATTAACCATCCCTAGGGACCATATTTGTACTGCCTCTGCTATATGTAGTATAGATGCATGGAGGAAGCTTGAAGTTTGAGGCAAATAAAAACCTGTCTCGTGAAAGTACCCAAACCTCTGGATATATCCATTTACACCTACCCCCATCCTTAGTTGTAGCAGTTCTGTATATGCCGTCATATAAATAGCTGTTATGTTGCCGGTTGCAGCGTCAAACAACCTGTATTTGCTCATATCTGTTCCCATATTTTTGTGCACAAACTATGTGAATATATTTGGCTCTGCCTCAGATAGATATGTATACATTTACCCCGTCTTTATAGATAATATATGTGAATACACGTGGCTCTGCCTCAGATAGATATGTATACATTTACCCCGTCTTTATAGATAATATATGTGAATACATGAAGCTCTGTCTCAGATAGATATGTGTACATTTACCCCGTATTTATAGATAATATATGTGAATACATGAAGCTCTGTCTCAGATATATATGTATGCATTTAACCCTGTCTCCATAGGTTATATATGTGAATACATGTAGCTCTGTCTCAGATAGATATGTATGCATTTAACCCTGTCTCCATAGGTTATATATGTGAATACATGAAGCTCTGTCTCAGATATATATGTATGCATTTAACCCTGTCTCCATAGGTTATATATGTGAATACATGTAGCTCTGACTCAGATAGATATGTGATATATATATTTAACCCTGTCTCTACATATATGTGAATACATGTACTCCTGCCTCAGATAGATATGTATGCTTTTAACCCTGTCTCTAGGTATTAATGTAGGTCTGCCTCATATATATATGCATACATTGACCCCGTCCCTACATATATGTGAATACATGTAGCTCTGCCTCAGATAGATATGTATACACTTAGCCCGTCTCTACACATATGTAAATATTTATTTCTCTAATCATCTGTTTATATTTGCCCCTGTGTATGTGTGTATGATCCTTGTTTCTTTAAAAAAAGAACACGTATGCATGTCTGCCTGCCCCTTGAGTGATCTTCACAAGTATATGTATCATTAATATGTTACATGAGAGGTAAATTCTCCATTTTGTTTTATTTTGCAGGTACAACGAAGATGCGTCTGTGTCGAGTGTTCTACAGAGCCAGGTCACGTAGTAAGAGACGGCGATGTGCATTGTGGATAGGGACATTCCTTGGTGCCTTCTGTCTCATCTACTTCAACGTCATGGGCATGAACACAATCAACCAAGATCAGCCATTGTTTTTGGCCAAAGACGTCCATCCACGAAAACCCATGGCCTTTAAACCCCCCGAACCACCAAAGAAAGATGACGAGCTAGACTTTGACCATGACCTTATGCCAGACTTGGTACCCGCCATCTTGCATTATGTTTGGTGTGGCAGACGTCATTTCGAGTACCGCCACTACCTAGCGATCAGGAGCGCTGATCGCGCAGTGAGGCCAGACAAAGTGTTTTTCCATTATGAACAGCTTCCCGTGGTGGACCAGGAAGGGTACTATCAGTGGTTTAATGACACCTTGCAGGAAATAGATCATCTACTTCCACGGCCTCTCAACTACTCAGTGTGTCCCAGAACTGGAACTGCAGAGAGATACATCCTCGTACTGGATATACTAGATAAGTTCGGGGGCATCTATATACCAGAAGATTCCATTTGGATTGACTTCCCTGTACATCTCCGGACGAGTCCACTAGTTGCAGGAGTAGTAGCTACAAGTCCAACTGAATATGCTGATGGAATTATCATAGGTAAGAAGGGTGGGTTCAAACCCCCGACTACCCCCGAGGAGCTTCTTGTAGTGCTGAGTCTGGGCATACACGAACATGGCGGAATCAAACCTTGTGTTTCAGAAGAAGGATATGTCACAGATGTCGTCGGGGACAAGATATGTGTTCGGGTAGAAAGGAATATATTCCCTAAAGACATATGGGAAGAAAAATCCAAATTCGCCATGTTGTCAAGAGTTGTATCATACGGTGGAGTAAACATCAAACACTTCTTCAGTATGAAAAATCCAATTCCCAAAATCGGCCATTACGTCTGTGTTGATTGCAACATCAAGTTCACTGGATATCTGAGCATGTTGAGTGCAATCTACGTGGCCGGACTGAGCAAAGTGTACATTCATGGCGTGGAGAAGCCCACGGGCAAGTGGTGGGTCAAGCTCAAGGAAGACCCCCGCTTCATATACGTGTACAGAGAATACCCAGAATCAGCATATGACAAGGCTGTCATGACGCCAAAACTAGCTGTGGGGATTATGAAAGTGGCCATTCTTCTCAAATATGGTGGTGTATATGTAGATTTTTCGGCTCTCTGGACACAGAAGATTCCAGACACGTATTTTGGTTATGACGCAATGGCTTCCCCTGACTGGCATCTTTACGGGCATTGGCCAGATTCCATTAACCACGGGGTTCTCATTGCTAAAAGAAACTCAAAATATTTACAAAATCTAAGAACAATTTTGCAAAAACACAAGAGCAATAATTATTGGTATAACGATCATTACCTCTCATATAAGATTGTGGAGAAAAACCCTGCTTTGGTTTGGTTGAATAGACGTTTGCAAGTGAAGTGTTTGAACCATAACTGCCATCCTACGTGGCAGCCAAACTACCAGTCGGGGTTGATGCAGAATAAGCCGGGAGCCCCCTTCAGTTGGAAGAATGACACTCTCACTCTTCACTGGACTGATACATTCCCTGAACTGGACCTTGACATGGTCAAATACACGAGTGGAATCGTCATAGACGTCAGTCGCTATATATTCGAGTCAGCAGGAATAGCCCTCTCGAAGGCGTGACATTTAAATGCACACACCTTGGTGAGATGAACAGATATGTGAGGGTCCTTGTAGAAAGTAGCAGAAATATATTCAATTTTATTGCCGTTTATAAAAGCTATCGTGCTTCTATCGTGATTTTTATAACACCAACACAATTCATGAAAAAATGACGTGTTATTGTGAAGAGGCATGGGTCGTACACACGATTGCATATACTGCAGGTCTCCCTTCATCGACACACGTCATGCCTGAACTGTGCCTGGGAATATTTAACACCTCGTGCCAGACTCGACTACGACATGATTGGTGACGTCAGACTGGATCCCGGTACATTCTGGCGACACGTGATTTGTTGGGGGAAACTGACCTGAATATGAAATAGATAAGTGTCTACATCTTTACCCAATGTAATGTCTAATCCTATTACGTAAAGCTAGATTTCTATGTTGGGTATCAATGTGCTGCATGTTGGCGTTTGCAGTGTTTGTGCTATGTGACACATAATGATAGTCGTACATGTGTGAAGAACCAGACATTCAAATTGTTATGTGTTAAAGCAGAGCACATCATACATTCATCAGTATCCACACCCTGGTAACGTTTTAGCGCTACACAAATCGGGGATGAGTATTTTTGCATGACAATTACAAACTCCCCTATAGCCGAATGCATCGAAAAAATTATCTTTTAGGCTGTTGAAAAAATATTGTCTGCCCCATTCCAGGTTGCTTTTAACTTTTTAAGTCTTTGGTGAACACTCTGATTTCCCTCTTCCAAAATGGTACGGACATGACATCAATTCATCTGATAGATTAAGGAAACCGAACCATTTTGATTGCACTGCCGGTGTGTGTCGGCAGTGCGAGCGACCGACTGTTGGTCAGATATTCAAAGCGCGGCGCTAATGTGATTTTTCAAATTTTATTGTATGTATCCTGCGTACTAACAACATGGCGCTTGAATTACCATAAGTTGAAGAATCTTTTCCAAAAGGATCTTGAACATCGGTGGTGTTATGTTTCCAAACACAACTGCAGACGCATGTTGTTATTGCGTATGCATAAACGTGTCAACAATGCCAATATTTGGGTATATATCAATATTCATGCGCAACCAAATTTGCAACCGGTTCCAGTTTGGTCTGTCAACGAACGAAAGTTATGTATTTACACTTAAATAATATATTTAGATCGGTCAGATACCAACTTAGAACCAAATCCAAATCGTTTCATGTTTTTAATCAATGTGGTGAAGTAATTTGATGCACTTCGCGATGTGAGACCCGTTTTAGTACAATATAGATCTTGATTATCGATCAGATCGTCTTGACTAGACGCCGCCATTTTGATTGAAGCAAATGCAAGTAATATAATAGGTGGTATCTGAATGGTCGGTAGGAGAGACAGAGAAGGGACATAACTCGTAATAGCCACTGGTGGCGCTTCCGTCGACCCTGGAAATTCCAGCCACGTGGGTGTAAACTAGACTTTCATAGTCAGATAATTCCCTTGCCTCGGGAAGATGCTCCGTGGAACGCGTTTTATGATTGTGATGCAAGTTTCTATTTCATGGTTGTGAATTGTATAATTGAGCGTGTATTGTTTTTATAACAGTATTTTTTTATATGTGATTCTGTCAATTTGAATAAAAGAAATGTCTGTTACATATTGCTTCTGTTTATATGTCTGATAAATGCTGCAGAATATCTATCGTCTTGCTAATGACATATTCAAAGAATTCAATGCAAAGTCAACTAGCTAAGAATGACAGCAACACTGATAACGGTTCAATGCTGCCACTTAAACAAGGACGAATTCAGCAGGTTTTACCGTGAATCCAGGCACATTTCGAAACTCCGTAAATATAACTTGTCCCGTACTGTCAGAGATTTCTACAACTGCAGCCATGCAGCTTGCCTTTTCACCTCACACAGAAAGCCTGCACATGTCAGCCGTTACACATCCGGGTCCTTCTCGTCATCACACACATCCCTGATGACTTGCAACCGGTGTTTTGTGCAAATTAAGTGCAAACCAGATTACATTAAGTCTATATATTAAGTCTTTAAATCTGTGTAAATTCTCAAATTGGAAAAAGTAAATCAGTCAGTCATGTGTCGGTAGAAACTGCGCACATGGCTTTTCCCCGTTAGGTTTGTTCATATCGTTTAAAGGGCAAGTTCACACGGAAATGAACCAATTTTTCTTGTACTTTTTCCACATTAAAAGTGTTAACATAGAAGTGTCATAGACAAAAATATAAAAACATCATATTTAATTAACATATTTTTTGCATTAAAACGATTTATATTTTTCACATTTACCAAGTGTTCTATTTCCATAACAAAAACACCATGGCTTATGCCCCTTGCAATATGACGTCATTGGTGCCAATTGATAAACATTATGACGTCATCATGCTTTGTTAGAGCCGCTTCACGTGGTGTAGGTACAGTTTTGTGATTCTAGCGTCTCAGATGCCAGCCAGAATTGTGTTATGCTGAGTCACCACTACGCCGGAGTGTGTCGTAGACCATGTTGTTTTACGGCAAACTGGTCCTTGATATCTTTTGCGTTGAGAATAGACAGGGACCTAGTTGAATTGGCACCAATTACGTCATAATCTAAGGGGGATAACTCAGGCCTATTTCGCTCGTAAAACGAAGGCCTCATAACGACATATCATTTTAACACTATTGTGAGCTTCCTACTTTCACTGTGAAAAAAAATGAGCGTATATTTTCAAACACAGATACTAACTAATTCTAAAATTGCGTTTTGTTTAGAAAAAGAAAGAAAGTGATTTTTGCGTGTACACTTCCCCTTTAAGGGGTTCGGCTGTTTCCACCGCGCATCTGGTTACCCGCAATAGAAAAGTAAACAATTTAACATCGAGAATGTAGCTCTATATTCATTTCGTCACACAGTATAAATGTGTTCAAGACACTCTGCTGTCAGTTAGACGTAGGCGTGGAGACTATAACCCTTTGTATTATTACAAACAACATTAACCATGACGTCACTTGGATCCTGAATTAAACAGCATTATATATAGGTGATATAGATGTAAAGCAATAAACAATTTTCTCGAGAAAGATTGCGCGTTCCCAGCATATCCACCCCGTGGTCTCTAAGTCACGTTTCTGTGTTTGTTATGGATCATAGATCCTCGCTTGTAATTGATTTTTATATTTACATTTGACATATAATTTACTATTATATTATTATTTTTAAAATTCTATGCTCCGTTAAAAACCGCTCGACCCTTTATCAGCCGAGTCGATCTGTTCACAAGGGCTGGGACGGTTGTTATGTGTAGGAGAAACCATGTCTAGTAATCTCGAGGAGACATGGTTTGTCCAACTTATAAACCGACTCATCGCATAGACAACGTTTTTAATGAAATAACTGTAATAAAAACTCTCAACTGTATAACCTGTATCGGAGATGAAATATCGCCTGCAGTCGTGAACTCGGTTCAATGAAACCGGTGACCTCAGCACGTGGGTTTCGCAACGGTGCGAAATCTGCACGTGCGTCTCGTAGGCTGTGACTATCACACGTTTTGCTTTGACTGACGCTCATTCATTGTACAGCCTGTTGCTGGCGTACGGATCTTGAAAAGGACATTCTAAAAAGCAGTGCCGCTTATCGACACCTCTGTAGCCTTGTGGTACACTCAATGGGCTGCAGATATGAAGGTTGCGAGTTCGATCCTCGGGAATATAAAGAAAACATTTGTCATTTGATTTTACATTTCATTACATGTTACAATCTGAACGGAAGTTATAATGATTGTAAGCCCTCCTGCGAGGTGTTACAATCGTTGTAATACCTCAGAAGAGGTGTTACCACAATTTCAAAAACTCCATCGAGTTACACAAACAGCCAGAAGGTTTATAATGAAGGCGGTGGGCCGAGGTGATATTGACACAAGCGGGGGCGATGGTTATTGCCGGTCCTGTCAGTGCGCTATGTGGCCGGGTTGGGCTGCAGACAAGATGAGGGCGGTAGTTCAGGTACCCCAACCACTCCACGGTGTAGCCGAGTTTATCTGTACACAACGTGGGAAGCTGGCCCTACCACACCGCGGTGTGGCTGAGTTGATCTGTACACAACATGGGAAGATGGCCCTACCACTCCGGTGTGGCCTAGTTGATCTGTACACAAGAGGTGGGGATGATGGCCCTAACCACACCGCGGTGTGGCTGAGTTGATCTGTACACAACATGGGAAGATGGCCCTACCACTCCGGTGTGGCTGAGTTGATCTGTACACAAGAGGTGGGGATGATGGCCCTACCACTCCGGTGTGGCCAAGTTGATCTGTACACAAGAGGTGGGGGATGATGGCCCTACCACTCCGGTGTGGCCAAGTTGATCTGTACACAACATGGGAAACTGGCCCTGTCACTCCGCTGTGTGGCCAAGTTGATCTGTACACAAGAGGTGGGGATGATGGCCCTACCACTCTGCGGTGTGGCCGACTTGATCTGTACACAACATGGGAAGCTGGCCCTACCACTCCTTGGTGTGGCCGAGTTGATCTGTATACAACATGGGACGCTGGCCTTACCTCTCCACGGTGTGGCCAAGTTCATCTCTACACAAGAGTTGGGGAAGCTGGCCCTACCACTCTGTGGTGTAGCCGAGTTGATCTGTACACAAAAGGTGTGGACGCTGACCGAGTTTAGCCATGTACACAACATGGGAAGCTGGTCCTGCCGCTCTGCGGTGTGGCCGAGTTGATCGGTACACAAGATGGAAAGCTGACTATACCACTCTGTGGTGTGGTCGAGTTGATCTGTACACAACATTCGAAACTGGCCCTGCCACTCCACGGTGTGGCCGAGTTGATCTGTACACAACATGGGAAGCTGGTCCTTCCACTCTGCGTTGTGGCTGAATTGATCGGTACACAAGATTGGACGCTGGCCTTTCCTCTCCACGGTGTGGCCAAGTTCATCTCTACACAAGAGTTGGGGAAGCTGGCCCTACCACTCTGTAGTGTAGCCGAGTTGATCTGTACACAAAAGGTGTGGACGCTGACCGAGTTTAGCCATGTACACAACATGGGAAGCTGGTCCTGCCACTCTGCGGTGTGGCCGAGTTGATCGGTACACAAGATGGGAAGCTGACTATACCACTCCTCGGTGTGATCAAGTTGATCTGTACAGAAGAGGTGGGGAAGCTGGCCCTACCACTCCGCCGAGTTGATCTGTACACAACATTGGAAACTGGCCCTGCCTCTCCTCGGTGTGGCCGAGTTTATCTGTACACAACGTGGGAAGCTGGCCCTACCACTCCGCTGTGGCTGAGTTGATCTGTACACAAAAATTGGGGACGCTGACCCTACCACTCCACAGTGTAGCCGAGTTTATCTGTACACAACGTGGGAAGCTGGCCCTACCACTCTACGGTGTGGCCGAGTTGATCTGTACACAAAATGGGAAGATGGCCCTGGCACTCCGCCGTGTGGCCGAGGTGATCTGTACACATTGGACGTTGACGCTACCATTCAACGGTAGGGCCAAGTTGATCTGTACACAAGAGGTGGGGAAGCTGGCCTGGTGGGGATGCTGGCCCTACCACTCCGCGGTGTGGCCGAGTTTATCTGTACACAAGAGGTGGGGAAGCTGGCCTGGTGGGGATGCTGGCCCTACCACTCCGCTGTGTGGCCGAGTTCATCTGTACACAAGAGGTTTAATCGGCTTGCCCCGCCATGACCTTATATTTCTAGAGGATATTCGATGTGTCTCGTGAAATATCACGTTTCTCTCATCAAGTGAAACACAAATTCTCCCTCTAACACACAGGGACGGTTCACCACCCCTTGTATTTGCGACTAAAAAAGTAGTTTCGTGTTTGCAAAATCTTAAAAACATATATATCAACAAAAGTAACAAAAATTATTTCGGGACACGAAAATTCTGTATCATACGTATAGATGTGAATATATACAAAATTAAATTTAACATAAAATATACTTAAAAACTTCCAAACCGCTGTTCGAAACGAAATAAGACACGCTGATCAAGTAACAAAAATAGCGTTTTGCGAAACAAACAGTCTCGACTGACGAGTTTACAGTGTATAACGGAACATTTTCAAGAGAACAACAAACAGCTTGGTGCGATATTAACTCCATAAATGGCCATCTGTCATTATTTTGCCTTGTCAATGTGGAACTAACGTTTAAAGGAAGTCGACAGTCTGTGTACGGGCTAGACACATGGGATAAAGGGAGACAATTTGAGGGGAGGTCACTCTTGTTTGACAATGTTATCTTTTCTCACTTTCTCAGCTTCGGAAAGCTCAGTCTTTCACACTTAAAGATATAATAGATATATATACATGGCAGTCACATAGTAGGCTACTAGTTCCACTGCAACAACATCTTCACAGAGCAACCATCTCGGTCATTATTCATGTCGTTCAGATATATGAAACGACAAATGGACAAATTGTCGCACAGTACCTTTATCGGTGTGCCGAAGTTTGCTATATCTGACAAAATCTCGGACAATACTTAGCAGTGTATTATTTTTTTTAAATCGATTTAATATTTGCAATAAAATTCACACCCTCAGACAGGAAATTTGAAATTTTACATCTTAGAGTAGAATTATAGTCTGAGGTGAACCCAGTGCTGCGCGGTACTGCAC